AAACTTCATCTTGAGGGTGGTATAAAAACCACTCACAAATATTGAGTGGAGAGGCCTTCTAAAGAACACATTATGTGCTAATTCTAACTTGAAAAAAATTGAATTGGATCATGTGAGTTTCTATTGAGGGAATACTTCCAATGCAATAGGGAAAGTGATTTTCCCCTTGACATTCTAAGGCTGATTATCAAAGCCAAAGAGAGGTCTAACAACAAATTATAATTTTCCCTAGTCAACCATAACAAAAGAAAGTTGCATAGAATAAGTCGTCGTAGGAACTTCATCCATCAATAAAGATTCTTTTTATATTATAGCTAGCATCACTGGTTCTAACACTTTTAAAAAGAAGATCCTAACAAGAGATCAGAAACCCCTCAAGATCTGATTCATCAAAGGTGATGGAGTAGCTAACCTGAGAATTCTTCAATATTAGTTCTTCATAAGCAGTAATAAGAGCTTATTTGAAATGCAGTGGTCCTTCCACAATCAATGAAATTTTGCCAACTGTATCATGATTCTTCTGATGTTGCTTCTAGAATTGCTACCCTCATTAAGGTTATTACTACTTTAAGGGACCTTGCTTTGAATAATTTCGCCCAAACTCCATTGTTTGATTAAGATTTTGATCACCTCTTTGAGTTGAAAACATGCTTCGATATTATGACACAATTTCAATGGAAGTGATAATATTTTCTGTGGTTTCCCACAGTTAGCCTCACCAGAGGTGTCCACTTAAAACTATACTTATCATAAACCATTAATCAAGATTTTGGCATGTGATGTGTTAAGCGACATATATTCCTCTGGTCGTGCTTCATGTTTTTGCGATTGAGTAAGAAAACTAGAGTTTTTTGTGGCTCATACTTCTTTTGCTTAGATGCTTGAGTACTATTTGCGGGGCTCTTCTTACAATTTCTTGATTATAACTCAAATTTCTTTTTGTGCATATTAATAGCTCTTTCAACTGTAATTTGTACGTGAACATGAAGAATGAGGTTAGCATATAAACGAACTATCTTTCGCATCAAAGATGAGTAGAATGGACTAGAAATAGTCCCTTTAATAAAACACCTTCAGTAGTTATGGATCTACTCCTAATATTTGATGAGCTTCGATAAAAAATCTTAGAAAATAATCTTTTAAATACTATCCTCATTTTTTAAAATCCTAAAAAGGTGAGAGGGGCCCTTCATAATTCTTTAATTAGCGATAAATTGCTCCACAAAAACCTAAGTGAGTTCATTGAAGGTATGAATGTTTTCCCTTGGGGGTGAATAAAACAAGTGTGAGATTGACCTTTAAGGTTCACAGGAAAAACTTGCCAAAGGAGTGCATCACAGGATATTTTTATAAGCATTATGGTTCTGAAGTGATCAACATGATCATATGGGCCATACATCCCATCATAAGCATCAACGCTTGAAATTTTAAACCATGTTGGAATAAGGTGTTAAATGATAGTCTCTCCTAATGAAAAGACTTTTAAAAACAACTTGAATGGAGAAAAGACTTATATCCCTCATAAAGAACTCTTTATGTACTAGATGTTGTAATATGTCATATGAATTATGGGTGGCCAAATTACATTCTCCACACTTGCTGGAGGCTTTTTGGTTGTTACTTAGCTTGACCACATAAGGAGGAAGTGTAGAGCTAGTAGAGTCCAGGAATTCAGTATCTTGAAGGGGACTTCAGTGTGTGGAGAGGGTGTCAATTTTGCATCTCTAGTCAATGGATTTCAAGGTAATTATGCCTCTCCAGTATGCATAACCATCAATTATCGAGTCTCATGTAAAAGTCAAATAATTTCATTTTGAGACTCCTCCATTCTCATACATAATTTTTAAATGGTGTTAAGGATGTTCCTTCACATGCAGGATAATGTGTATCAATGGGAAACCGATTTGAGGATTGGTGTTCCTCACTTCAAAAATGCACCTTGGAATTATGGGTGTTAGAGCAAGAAACACATGCATTATGCTTGTTAGCAATCGATGAAGTGTAGAATTCTATCAATAAGACTTCATTTTCCGCATATGGTGTCAAACTGTTGCCTGTTAGTATATTCCAGACAGCAGTGTGCTAATTTAATGTCTTATTGTTGCACAATGATCCAACATATACAAATAAATAAATAGGTTAGAAGAAAAGAAACTGTGATCTTTAGAAAAACATGAAAAAATGAAAACACCATGGAGCCTAGCCCAAACAAAGTAATCCACTATTAATGTGCAAGTATAAAGATGCCCCCTTTTCCCCCACTTGGTAGAGCAAGATTACAATTTTACATCAAATATAATACTTGTCCGTATAAAATAAAAAATATTTTAAGAGTAGAGAGAGTCGTTGTACACAAAATATGGCTATCACAATCAATTGTTAGGAATTATCATCGAATTTTCAATAGAATGTAATTTATTGCATAATATTTGAGATATGACTTTACACTGTATTCGATATAAGTTGTTCCACTGTTTTTCTGATATGTCCTCACTTCATATTGGTGTATTTCGTTACACTGTAAGGTTCATTGATGATGGTGAGCAAGAGCAGTTGGCGTTGGTCAGCTGTGGCTGGCGAACGGTTGTCAATAGTGGTCGGCAGCTACTTATGCCAAAAAATATTATTAGGTTCTTAGTCCCCCCATCCAAGTTAGGAGAGGTGGTATATTTATAGCCCCTGAGGACGGACATTTTAGTAATTTGGCTAGTAACTCCCATAATCACCTGATTAGAAGGTTCATATTCACTCCTCTTGATCACACAAGAATTTTTTTAATGATTTTAAGGGTTTTAGTGGCATCAGAATTAAATAATCTTAGGCTTGCTGGACTCCTCGCGTTGGGATGCTAACCGAAGCTTCCAATTATGTTTTAATGATTTAATATAAACTTGTTTGAACTCGGATCGAACCAATTTTGGTATCATCGGGTTCATATTGTCGATATGATATGTTTGAATATAAACTTATTAACAGATGCCATATATGATCTTTAATTTGATTCTAGCATATTTCTTGCGCAAAAATATATTGAGATTCATGCCAACAGGTAAGATTTTTAATGGTGTGTCAGTCCTAATATACTAGTTTTAGCTAAGCTTAGAAAGTTTTTAAATATCTCTTTAAGTATTAGTCAATTATGATCAATTAATGTCTAATTTGAACATACAAAACCACAAAATGCATATTCCAAACTTTAAAGAAAGATTTACAAGCAACTCAATTTCTATGTATTTAGATATCCAAGACTTAAAACTTCAATTCTATATCTATGCCACATTATCTAAAACAACATTTATCTCATCTTTTAAAAATTAAAATAAAAATATTTTTGATGTGACATTTAAGTATTTGGGTGGTTTAAATGAACAGGTTTAGGTGTAAGATAGAAATTTAAATAAGTCCGAATTATTTTGTGTAGCGCGGAGAAGCATAAAAGGTTGTGCCCGAACGATAGAAATTAATCAGAATCATTTAAGGTAGTAGGAACTGAAAACCATGCTTCGACTTTCATAGAAATTAAAGCCAAATTAATGGCACGGCTCTTTTTAAACAACAGAAGAAGAAAAAAAACAGAGTACTGGGATAAGACTCACTCCAGTTTTTGTTTCTTCACGGGAATCGAGAGATGACAATCATTCAAAAGCCAGAAAAATAAAGTACGCAGTTTTCAAACAATTAATAATCCATATAATTTATAGAATACCATAATAATTACTTTAATATTTTATTTCCAAATTTAATAATTGCCATAAATTTCTTCATTTTTTTTTTTAATTTTATACTAAAAGTACAAATTCTCTATTTAATTGTTTACCTAAAGTCTAAATTAAAAACTAATTAATAAAAACTTTATATTTTAAATACCATGCAAAACCAAATAAGAAAAAAAAAACCTTAGTAGCTGGACATAAATTTTTTCCATCAACATTCTCCCTCTAATCAATGAATGCTCCTTCCCCTCCACTGAGGTAATCTATGAACAATATCGATTCTTCATTGAATACCAATATTGAAAAGATATCAGACTCATTAATGACATTGGTAAGATTAGCCTCTGTCCTCTTCCACAGCAGCACTAACAAATAGAAAGAACATGACCCCACATCTCCTTCCCTGTCAAAAAATATGAGTTGGCTTTGTCGCCCCCTGCCGTTCGCTCCAAAGCTGTTTAATGAGCGGGTCAGGAGACCACAGAGCCCCGATATTTCATAGGCTCTTCGTGAAGACTATAACTCCCCCACTGTATTGTTCTTATGTCATTATTGTTCATTCACTTCAGTCCATCATCTTTAGGTGGAATTGATGAGTTGGCAGATGTCAGCTTTTGGGAGGCCAAATTACTTTTGTAAGGAATGCGGCCTCTATGTCTCAATCTGGGGCTATTTACATACGCAAAACGCACGCAGCTCTTCATGCATAATCCCCTCTCAATAATCACTCAATAACCTCTGTGAAGATTATTGTGGGTTATTGTGCAGTTATTTCAACATTATTTTGAGTCATTACCCTCCGCGGTTATACTTTTACATTTTCTCTGCCGTTAGGGTATTGATTCCAAATAACGCCGAAATAACTCGGCGATAACCCCTCAATAGGTGATTGAGAGAGGATTACACACAGAGAGCTGCGTGCATTTTTCGTACATAAATATTTACCCTCAATCTGTACCAAATAAATCTAGTGAACTGTCACTGCTATTCATGGAGAAGGGTACCAAGGAAAATAAAAGCGTTGGTTTTTGACTAATGGCATGGTGTGTTTTTCTTACAAAGTCCCTAGAATATAAATAATTTTACTTTTTGAGACATTCGAGCAAATTTTGTAACAAACACATGAATACTGTACTCATGATCTCTTGAAAGGATAAGCTCTCAACCAGCACATTAAAATGATTTCAATCATTTAAAAGATTTTATTTGCTTTGCAACGAGTTCAATGATTCAATTTTGATCTTATTTTCAGCTTTTAAAAAATAAGATTGGCTTTGCATATAAAACTTAATGGGGCTTTTAAGTCTATTAAATGTCATAGGTAATCCATGTACATAAAAGAGGATAAAAGCAAACACTATTCTCTAGAATTCTCAAACATCTATGTTTTTCACTACAATAAATAAAACAGAGCTTCAGTAAAGCAAAAGCAAAAGCAAACAAAAAAAAAACTACAAATAAGATAAACTTGGCTGACAGGTCATGAGACTTCAGGAATGAAGGGGTACACCCTGCAAGTTAGGTAAGGTGACTGAGCGCAGCAGCTCCAAGGAAGAAACGAGCCCCAAGAAATGTGAAAGGATGGTGTTAGCAGAAGCCTGCAGTAGTTAACAGTGTTGCGTTAATCAATTTATATAATTTGATACTAAGAAGGAATCAGAAGAGCGGTAAATATTTTATTATTTTCAATAAAGGATTTCATAAGAACTGTCTGATTCTATTGTTGGATGCAATTTTTGTGCAGTTAAACCAATCCAAAGCATAAGAGGATGACCAAAGGATCTTCTAAACCATTGTAAATTGGAATCAATAGAAATGTGAAAAAGTTGAGATTAATTGAAGATACTTTGGGTAAAAATGTTTTAGGCGATTCAGCGGAATAGGGTTAGCTGTTTAATAGGCAAAAATTAGGTTCGCTCCGCTATATTAGAATGTTATGGGTTCAAATTATGAAAATAGCTTTTTAAGTAGGATGACATTAATGTATCAAACCTTCTCTAAACTTCATATTGGCCGAAAGCCTATGCATGGGTACAATAAATTTTTCCGGGTTTAGAAATGGTAGACTTGTTATAAGGCTTTCAAGAGGTAAAACTCTTTGTTCATTATAAAACACCTAATCCCAAATATTTAAGTCCATAGAAATTTTATAGGAATTCAACAGCCTCTTTGCCATACTCAACTTAAAAAAAAGAAACACCCATTAGATTGCCAGGAATTCAGATGGAGATTTTTATGAGTTAGTATCATCCAATCCAACTAAAAAATAGTGGTGCAAATTGGGTTAATTGTCTATAAGCCTAGAAGGCGAGCTAGCAATTGGCTTCAAAAACACAAATTAAATGGGCTTAAGAAAAAAAAACTATTAGTCAATTTAAACCCATTGTCATTATAGAGCATGAAAAGATTTAGGATTTGTTTTCTCTTTGTTGTATAATCCCAATTGTAGTTGTTACTTATGCCCTTCATATGCTTCTTTGGAGTCCTTGCTTCAATTTCTCATCACAAACTTCTTCACTAACATTATATCGTCATACACTGCATCCATCCTATACTTGCTAGTTCATCAAATATCATGTCATCTTGCCTCCATCATGCTCTCGTTTTGAATGATTCCCCATCATCAAATTGCCTCTCATAACCAGACTTGGATCATTCCTCTATAATCCATGTAGTCCCTCATTGATCGATTCTCATTAAAATTTTGAAATCTCACGATTCTCTTTTTATTTGAAAAAGTCATTCTACTCCTAAACTTAGAAACCACAATTTGTATCTTCTTAATATGCATGTTGGTTGGCTTCTATTTTGATTAATGATGTGTAGAAAATAATGCTTAATTTTCTTTATATTTTGCATATTTTTATGGATAAAATTGCACATTAAAGAAAGGTATTTTTATGTTTTACTTACAGGTACAATGAGTATTAAAAGCGGAGCAAATTAGAGAAGAAATGAATCAGAGTGGAGTTGACTTGGAGCTAAGGATGACCCGAGCAACTTGCACTTTGGCGTCAGATTTTTTGGGTGCCTACGCGCCAGTCCCACATTGGGAACTCGAGTTTGGCGCCTAGGTGCTCATATCAGAAATAGCTGACAGAGAGATTGGTGCCTAGGGGCCAGCCCCGTGGTGCCTAGGCTTCAGAAACTGCCTGAGCAGTATTCAACAGTTCCAGAGAGGAGTTTTAATGGAGAGTTTGGATAGCCTTTTTGTAGATCTTTAAGGGGGATCTCAAAAGTTTTGTTGAGAATAGAGTTGGAGAGCATTTGTGAGGGAATTGGAGAGACTTTCAAGTGTAAAGTGAAAAGAGACTTGAGGAGAGCAGCAAAAAGAATTAGGAGATCCCTAGGGAAGCATTCTCGACACTTTGTAAATTGAGAAAGCTAAGTATAGTGTACTCGAACTTGTAGAATAAATGACGAACAATGAACAAATCAATTTAGATATCCAAGAATCAATTAATGATCATCATAATACGCATGGACCATTAAAAGATTACACAAATCCTATGGCAAATGAAATTCATTTAAGTATTCAGAACCCTGTTGAATAAGCTAAAACATTTGAAGTTAAGTCTGTTTTCATTCAAATGGTGCAGAACAACCATTTTGAGGGAATCCAGTCTGACGATCCAAATTTACACATAGCAAGTTTTTTAGAACTATGCGCTACATTTCGTTTTATTGTCGTGTTCAATAACGTTGTGAGACTTAGGCTTTTTTCATTTTTCATTGAGAGATAAAGTCAAAATATGGTAGAAAAAATTACCACATGGATCATTAGGACGTGGGGTGAACTAGCCCAAAAAATCCTAGCTAAATATTTTCCAACTTAAAAAAAAACTCAACTGCGGAATGATATTACTTCATTTTGCTAACACGAAGGTGAGGCAATATGTGGGGCTTAGGAATGATTTAAGAAGCTTCTTAGGAAATGGCCACATAATGCACTGCCCGATAGACTGATTATTCAGACTTTTATAATGACTTAGTATAATCCCTTAGATTTATTATTGAAGTTGATGCTGGCAGATCACTCATGTTAAAATTATTTGATGAGGCTTATTCTCTGATTGAAAAGATTGTCACTAACAATTTCCAATAGTCTTCTGAAAGAATTAACCCTAGAAAGGTAGCTAATATACATGCACAGATGTGGTTTCGCTTCTAACTTCTCAGGTAGCAGCTATATCTAAGAAGCTAGACATATTTGAAATGAATCAACCTCAAGTACCTCCAGTAATTGAGGAATATTCGTTTGGATTATTGATTGATACTAATACTTCATCACTTGAGACCCTAAATGCAATTAACAACAGACCTAATAATGTATCCTAAAGCATGCTTAATTTCATTTATTTTTTGTACTTGTTTTTGATGAAACTGCATTTTAAAGAAAAATACTTTGTGTATTTCTTGCAGGTATAACAGGTAGGACATATGGAGAGAAGTGGAGTTGAAAGTGAGCAAAAAGTGAGCTAAATGGAGCATATAGAACCAGCAAGTATGGCACCCAGGCGCCAGAATCTTAGGTGCCTCCATTCAACCTTAGCGCAAGCTTATTGGCACCTAGGCACCAGAACCCTGCATTGCAACCCGAGAAGACGGCGCCTAGGCGTCAACTTCTGAGCACCAAGGCGCGGCAGTATTTCTGTAGTTATTCACCCACAACTTTGAGAGTTATGTGGCGGTTTTCAAGAGTTTGAAAGCGGACTTTTAAAGAAGAGAAATGATTCAGAAGCTAAAAGAGAGAAGGAAGAGACGCAGAGAGCCGAAGAAGGTGGAGACAAGCTAAGAAGACCTAGAGAAATATTGGACTTCTAATTTTTCACTTTTCTTGGAGATTGGTGAGTGGTTTATAGAGAAATTGTTAAGGGAAGTATTGTAGCATTGCAGGGAAGATTTGGTTTCATTGTTGAAGCAACTTTTCATCTCTCTTCGGAGGAGAAAAATAAGTATCGTGTTTTCATTTGTCTTGAACTTATTGTAAACACATATTTAGTGTATTTATTTTGTTAAAATGATGATGATTTTCATTGTAATTTTCACACCTTGTGAGTAGAATTCCTTTACGTTTTGCTTGTAATGAATAAATAGGATTTGTAGGATGTGTAAAATGCTTTTAGGAATGGATTTTAATACTAATGTGATGAATATTCTTCTATGCTTCATTACCTTTCGTTATGGTTATATGAATTGTTAAAATTTGTTGTGATTCATTGAGACTCGGAAAAGCAGTGAAAAAACAACTAGAGAATTCACATTGTTCGATAGGCTATGGTGAAGTAGTCTCGTGACAATGCAAATAGATAGGGAAAAAAATTTTGATGGGTTCAATCTAGGTTTAAAGGAATTAAAACTAGGTAAATCAAATTTTTTTACACACTAAGAAAAGGGAAAACAAGATATATGTTCCTGATTGTCACTGGCCACAATAACAATTCTTAGTAATCGATCCTACAATCCACTTATGCACTCACAAGAGAAAAATAACTTTTATAGCTTGATATTCAACAAACGAATTGATATAGTTAAGTTTAGTTTTAAACTTAGTGTTGTAAATTAGGAGTATTTGTAGAATTATCACTTAAATTGATATTCCAGACTAAGACCTTAGCGTAGTATACTGGAACTCTAATGCAACTCATTACCTAGTTCTCTTTGGGATCGGCAATCCTGACTCATTAGAATCCTATATTACTGAAAACGATACGTACAGTTGACGTAAGAAACCCTAGTGAGTAAAAATACATAATTTTAAGAAATCAATTAGTTGGCTAGGGAACATATCAAGTTTCTGGTTCTATTAACAAAACTTACATTAATGTGATAATCGTTGGGGTGTGTCAAGTTTTCTAGCGCCATTGTCGGGAAATGATAATGAAGAAATTTTTAGGAGAATTTTAATTGAATCTGTAAGACTTAGATTTGAAAATTATAGTGTTATTATATAGTGTGTTTAAATATTGTGTGCTTTTAAAAGAAAAATCCAAAAAATATTTGTGTGTGTTTACCATGCTTGATATATATTCTATTAGTTAAGTCTTTAGTTGTGCATGTGTTGCGCAGGATCTTCAGAACTTGCACCTTGCGATTCAAAACTAGAGAGGACTATTAAGAAAATTAGAAAACTGAAAAGACTTCACCAAATTGAAGGAGAAAAGACGAATATTCAACAAAACAATTTAGATAATCAAATTTCTGATAATGAATATCATAACGTGGATTCACCGTTAAAGGACTACGTTAATCCTACGATAGATGAAATTCATTTAAGCATTCAACTCTTGTTTTAGAAACTAATAGATTTGAATTGAAACATGTTATTATCCAAATGGTGCAGAACAACCAGTCAGGGGAACTCTGTCTAAGGATCCAAATTTACCCTTAGCAAGTTTTATAGAACTTTATCTTACAATTCGTTATAATGGCGTGTCAAACGACGCTATTAGACTTAGGTTTTTCCCCCTTTCCTTAAGAGATAAAGCTAAAATGTGGTTAAATTCATTAGTGTCTGGATCGATTAGGACATAGAGTGACAGCCCAACAATTCCTAAGTATTTCTCGCCTTCGAAAATTGTTAAACTTAAAAATAATA